GAGAGAGAGAGAGAGAGAGAGAGAGAGAGAGAGAGAGAGAGAGAGAGAGAGAGAGAGAGAGAGAGAGAGAGTTACACAAAATGGACAGGGCATAGAAAAGCACAGCAATTTGAGTAAACCAAGAAAAATACTATACATTTAACACCCAAAAATTGCTCATCAGCGAGGCTCATCAGTGAGTCATCACACAGCTTTTCAAGAACAATCGCAGCTAGAAAACCGAACCTTCTTTTTTTTTATTTCAAAGTTCGAAGGTCAAACTAAAATTACCAAAGGTCAAAGGTCAAACTAAAATTGCTCATCTTTGACCTTTTTAGTTTGACCTTTTTTATTTCAAAGTTCAGGTCAAACTAAAATTACCAAAGAAAGGACAGGAAACTGAGGAACGTAGTACAGCCTGTATGAGGCCAAAGGATACACACCTCCAACCTTCGTTAATCTGACTAATCAACAGGTTAGAGGTTAAAAAGAACTCAAAAATTATGGTGTCCAATAATCACATTTCGGAATGTCGTGGAGTAGTGCAAGGAAAATGACCCATAGCGAAAAGACAGAATTCCAGATTGCAAAATCGAAATGGAAGACAGGAAGATAATCAGTAGCGGTGCAGAAAGCAGAAACAAAGCGATATCACACCCGAGGAGAACCAAAGAAGCGAGATCTCAATTGTCCATGAAATCATTCTCTTGCCAAACAATGTCTTCGAAGCTCTACCGCCTATGGGCGCTCAGCACCGAGACTACAAACACACAGCTACTATACTACTGTAGAGTATGACGAAGCAAACAGTTGACGTCGGCAGCAGCACACCAAAGTACATGCAGATGTTGACCCACTGTCATGACCAGGTACGTGTCCTCACATCATACCCCTCATCTCTCACTCTCTCGCCCACCCTCATCTTCTTCACCCACGTCTCCACTACACGCCAAGCCACCACCTCCACTGACTTCTCATCCAAGTCCCAGCCCGGCTATGTGGGCTGGGCTACGGCGCTGCCTTCGTGTGGCGCTTGCGGTGTGCACCGGCAGCACTAGCTTCAGCCGCGAGCGTACGCTCTAGCAGCGCTGTCGCCCTCACTAGCAAGTACCCGAATGCATCCCTCCGTGGCGGGCACTTTCCTAAATGGAAAGCGCTCGCAGCTTCGCTGCCTGGCTCTGCTTGCCTGGAGTTGGGCCAAAGTGTCTGCGCCCAGGCCCGTTCAGACAGTGGCCTCGGACCGAATTGGTTAGAAATGCCCAACTACCCAGGTGCAGACGTGCAGTGTTCCCTGCTTATCCCACTTTGCTGGAAGGGCCTGGAAGACTCACAAAGATATCAGATTCTCACGAGCAAGGCGGATGTAACCAACAGGCACGTGGCAACTGTCTGGCGCCCACCAAGATTTGCAAAAACTGATGAATTCAGGGCTCATAGAGATTCAGGGGCCCGCCTTCACTTAGGGCGGGCACGTGCTTGCTGTAGAGGCCTTACGCAGGTATGCCGAGGGGCAAAATACTAAAATCCTCGCACTACTCGTTCTTTCTAATTTGGTCCATGGATAATAAAAAAAAAAGAAACAACTGGAAACAGGTAAGGGAGCTCCACAGCAAAAGAATAGTAAGGTCACTAAGTTGTTTTTAGAGAACCCGAGAATCCCTGCCCAATTATAAGGACCAAACTGCCCCTATGAAATTTCGTTTTTCACCTTTTTTATTTTATTTTATGCTATAAACTTAGTATACAATCAGTATAAATTCAGTATTTAGTATTTAGTAGTACCATGGAACCGTACCCTCCATTTATTTCGTGGTCCGAAGAGGACCCCCCACCGGTTGCGGGGCCTCTTGATGCCTCTTGAACAATAATAAGCAGGGATTCGTACCGACAGGACAGCCCTTGCTGTAGCTGTACATTTTTACAGTCTACCCGACTCACTGACTCTACCGGTAATTGGCCCGTAACTAGAGTAGTTTACCATGCTTGCAAGTTGGAACCCCCCGCATGTGGACTTCTTGCTCTACCTCAAACGAGAACACCCCGATAGTCCACTTATGTGAAGTACCAGTGTTGAAACTAGACGCAGTACTTGGCCCCCTCTACCACACTTGTAAATGGAGGCTAAACGACTACATTCATACCATGCTTGCAACCCCACATGTTGACTGCGTGCATGACCCTTGGTGCAGGGTGCGGTGCGCAGAAAGCAGGTGAGATCCATAAAAAAAGAAATAAACACAAACTAGTAAAATTAGTACAATACACAAAAATCGCCTTGAACTCTTTTGCCTTCTGGCAAGTCCGGTGGATATGATTTTGATGTTGCATCCCCGCCAAGAGTTGCTCAGAGTTAACTTTTTCATGTCTGCCGGCCCATGCATTCCACACGCACGCGGTGCAGAAGCGCCGCGATGCACCACAAGCACGTACGCAAACCCATGCACAGGGTGTGTTTGTAAGTATGATTCACACTGGTTGATGAGCAACACTAGATAGTAAATACATATATTGCTACATGGATGATAAGCTCAATTTGTTTTATTCCGAAAGCACCGACATGTATTGTACGTGTAGAAGAAGTTAAGAGGGACGCATGAAGGGAAAGGCAGCTTGCAGGTGACTACAAAGAAGGACACTGATCGAAACAATAGAAGAAGCAGCTAGAGGGACGAAGCTATGGAAAAGCGGCATACAATTGACATCCTTTTTTTTAAATCCTTTTGGCCTTTTGTTGCATCACTGGCACGTCGATAACTTACTTCCTTGAAAAGAGTTTACTGTCAATGCCGAGATGTTCTTAATATGCCCCGGAGGCCCTTCATCACCATCGGTTGCGGGTCCCGGTCCCATAGTATGCAAGCACTCTCCTGTTGCAGAGTCCCAGACCTGTGCAGCAGGCAATGAAATTCAAAAACCCTAGATCCATATCTTAGTAGATATCATGTGACCGCCCCGCCGCAAACCCCCAGCAAAAAAAAGGGAAAAAAACTCCCCATTATGATAATCTGTGTGCCTCGTACTGCCTACCGTCTTCCCCCGAACATAACGCAGATGCGTTGCATTCGAGTTTTCGGAAAAATCGATGATTCGATTGGAACGCATATGCTTTGTATTCGAACATACCAGCTGTTCGAATAGAACGCATATGCGTTGTAGTCGAACATACCAGCTATTCGAATAGAACACAAATGCATTGTATTCGAATAGAAAGCAACCTATGCATTGTATTCGTTTATAACTTACGTGTTATGTTCGGGGGAAGATGGTAGTCCAGTGCAAGCAAACTCCTTGTTCCAAGGCAGAGCCCCAGACCCTTGCACAGCCCAATGCGATTCAAATTCCCTGAACCAACTTCCGTACATATCAACCCCATGACCATAAGGCCCCTGTCAATGTGAAAAAAAACAAAACAAAACGTATGACTCATAGCAGTCATAAGATTCATAAGGCACCATCATGACCATTTAACTTGAGGCAGATCCATCCCTCCTCGAGTAAGTCGTTGAGTTGCGCTCATAAAGCAGCAAGTTCCTCTTCACTCATATGGCTTATGCAACCTTTTGGTCGGACGGTTGCATCGTGATTCGTGGCGAATGATCTCGTGCATGATGGGGCGGTTTGGCACTATACGGGAAGGTGCCTCAAGGACATCCGACAACCCGTCCAATAGGCGTGTGCTTAAATGGCCAGTCCATACGCAGGCAGCACTTGTAGACTTTGCTTATACAACAAGCAAGTACTGGGCCAAAATCTAGAGTCCCCAGACCCGGTAGAGGCTCGGTGGGAAGGGGCAACTGTAGATTTTTTTCAAATGACGGCACCGTAGATGCCAGGCTCGAAAAAATGCATCTTTTGGTTCATCAATTTAGCCTCCGATGTACTGGTGGTTTAAACCACCAGTACTTCCCAGACGAGCGCCGGTTAATGTGCTGGGATGTATGGGCCTATGGGCCTGCCACACGACGAGAAGTGTATTCTTGATGACCCTAATGAGATGCCGGTGTAACTGGGAAAGAGACTCGTAGTTTAGACCACAAATACTTTTGAGCCTCTCTTTCCCGAGGCGGACTCGTGCTGCACACCAAAAAAAAACAAAGCGGGGCAGCACAAGTTGTACCCGTTTTGCCTGCTGCCACCAGCCAAACAGATCCGGTAGGCCCAGCCTTGAAAGACACAGCGTGCATATAGCTGCGTCCGAAGTTCTAGCATCAATATAGCCAGGAAATGTACTGGGGGCTTAACACTATGGAGTCTTGACCCTGGCAATGCTGGCATGTACATATGACTCCTGTGAAAATCTGACGTTCGATCCTATCACTCCGAAAGGCCCACATAAGTTTTGAATCATGTAATTTTATTATTTTACGCAACATAGAATGTGACTTCCCTTTATGTTGCCATTTACAATGTGTCGTATGTGGATATTTTCAATTTATTCTGCCAGCGGGCTATGTAATATGTAGTACGTGCTAATTGTGATACAAGTGGCTATTTTTCCGCTTGGAATATAGACAACTGGTAGTGTCACTTGACTATTTTGCTGCTTTGAGAATAGCCAAACGGAACCAACATAAGAAAGTTTTGGATTCCCTGTACCACAGTGATCACTCCAATAGGACCCAATACAAGTTTTACCTTTCTTTTCCAAAAGTTGGCTATAGTATTATTGAACTACACCAGGGCACCAACCACGTGGCAATAGCTGAGCGTTCGAGTTGTGTTAGAACTTAGAAATTAGAAATTTAGACGTGGGATGTGGGGTACAAAGGAGGGAAGAAGGCATCGAAATCATCACCTACCTTGAGCACGTTACCACCGCAAGAAACGATGCGATCACCGGATGGAACGTACTCCACAGCCTGGACCTGAATGTGACACAAGCACAGGGCAACAACGGTGTCTCGAGAGTTTAACTGTGGAGCCAATTCGCCATTCTGAAAGATGTTGCAGCCGCTGGCAAAATACACAGGAAGAGCTCGTTGACGACTGGATTGACAGGGTGAGACAGACACTGGATTGGCGTACAAATATTTGCAAAAAACAAATCCATGTTGACATAATGACCATTTTCATAACCGATGTTCGTCTTCCTGCTATAACTAATATCCACTAACTACTGCCTGATGCATACTAAGTTATTGACTGGTATCTACGAAAAGAATAAAAAAGACAAAAAAAGTTACCAACTACTAGCTAGTAGCTATCACCTTACTACTATAACTAACCACTAGCTACTAATTAATAATTAGTCATTTTCTAACTACACACTCCACACTACTGCCAAGTAACTACTGCTTAGCTACTAAGTTACTAACTACTACCAGATGCAATTACTAAGTTAGTACTAACTGCTCAGTACTTCAGTTACTAAGTTAGTTAGTTCTAACTACTCAGTACTTTAGTTACTAAGTTAGTTAGTACTAACTACTCAGTACTTTAGTTACTAAGTTAGTACTAACTACTCAGTACTTTAGTTACTAAGTTAGTTAGTACTAACTACTAAGTACTTTAGTTACTAAGTTTGTTAGTACTAACTAATAAGTACTTTAGTTACTAAGTTAGTTAATACTGCTAAGTACTTTAGTTACTAAGTTAGTACTAACTACTAAGTACTTCAGCTACGAACTACTAACTAGCCACTAGAAGCTGCAACTACTGACTGCTAACTATTCCCGTCTCCCCCAGAACATAACGCCTATGTGTTGTAAAGGAATACAACGCATAGGCTGCTTTCTATTCCAGTACAACGCATATGCGTTCTATTCTAACAGATGGTATATTTGAATACAACGCACATGTGTTCTATTGGAATCATCGATTTTTTTCGGAAAACGAATACATCGCATATATGCATTATGTTCGGGGGAAGACGGTAGCCACTAACTACTGACTTCTAACTACGGGGGTAGTAGTAGTACTAACTACGAGCCACTACCTTCTTCCCCCGACTACAATGTACGGTCATTATAGCGGTATTTGAGGCATCTTTCAGTCTAGATACAGCTGTAATGACCGTACATTGTATTCAGGGGAAGAAGGTAGTTACTCATACTACTAACTACTCTTTCTAACTACTACTACTCAATACTAACTTCTACATACTATATACTAAGTACTAAGTACTACTACTTACTGACTACTGCTAAGTCCTCCTACTAGTATTATTGGTGCTACTATTACAGTGCTGACAACGATAGACAATGTATCGCAGTGTGAAATCCAATGCATAATTTGTGCCGGAATTGACAAATGCATCTAAAAAAAAAAAAAAAAAGACATGAACTGCCCGGTGAGCCATAAGCAGAGAGGGGGCAAAAGAGGAAAACAAACGAGGCGCTGCAACAGACTGTTTCAACAGAGTTTCACCGACTGACAAGGAGGCTGAACCCTAAGGAGACACTTCAGTACTTAGAATTTTGAAGTCCCAAAAGGCACCGCCATTAGAAGGAGGTGGGGAAGGCCAAGGAGGAAACAAGCTTTCCATAGTGCGTGTGGCCAAACATGACTTACCAGGCAGTTGTGACCTGCGAGCTCAGTTACTCGCCCTGTGGCAAGATTAAACAACAACAGCTCGTTGGGTGCCTGTTAAGAGAAGGGGGGAAAAACAAAGGAAAAAACAAAAGAACTTTAAGAAGAGTAAAATGGTGCTCAGAGCCAATGGCAGCAACACTTGCAAATGAGCACTTGTTCCTTCTTTCTCTCTCGGAGTCTCTCCCCCTCTCCCCTCTCCCCTCTCCCCTCTCCCCTCTCCTCCCTTTTCCTCCTGTGGCCCTTCCCCACCACCACCACAACCACAGAGCTACGTCATTTCTATTCAAGCCATTACTTGCTCTTCATCGATGCTCACTGTTCTCTCTCCCTCTCTCACTCTACCTTTCAAACACACGTACACAAAGACACTAGAATAGTAAAAAATGCAGCCCTCCTTGGACACGCACGGTTTCTTGAATCAGAATGGAGGGCTCGACCACAGCAAGTAAGAGTGTTTTCCAGAGCTTGTCACAATCCTGCAAACCCACAACCAGCCAGGTCAGTGCTCAAATGTCTGTTGCACATTTCTGATCTATTATTATTATCATTATTATTTAATTATTATTATTAATTTATTATTATTTGCCAGTGTTGGGAAAGGCGGCGGGGCAAGGGGCGGGCCCACGAGACACTTATTAATCTTTTTTTGTCGTTTTGTGGGCTGGCTCGCGTCGTTTCGTTTCGTTTTGGACTTAGGGCCTAGCTGCACTACTCACGAGACTGAATCTACCGCTGGAGTACGGAGAAATACGTTGCTTATCGATTTTTGTCGTTTTGTGGATTGGACTTAGGGCCTCGCTGCACTGCTCACGGAGCTGAATCTACCGCTAGAGTACGGAGAAATACCTTGCTTATCTTTTTTGTCGTTTTGTGGGCCAGCTCGCGTTGTTTCGTTTTGGACTTAGGGCCTCGCTGCACTACTCACGAGACTGAATCTACCACTAGAGTGCGGAGAAATACATTGCCATCTTTTGTCTTTTGCGCACGTAGATCCACGGCCCGCGCGGTTGTTTTTCTGCGTCGTGAAAGGGCGGTGGGGACGAACGGGATGAGTCGGAGGGGGTGCGGGGAGGTGGGGAC